ATTATACTAACAGTTCGTAGGTTGATGACATACCAAATATTATACTAACAGTTCGTAGGTTGATGATATACGTTTTCCATTTACCACATAATGGACTATAGCTCATTTCTTGGATTTATAACCGACTCGAGAAAATGTAGATATACAAGTGACCTAGTAAGTTCTTAGACATGCATTTGACTCTGAATCTCCCATGTTATGCCCCAGAGCTAAAGACAGGCTGACAAAATCTCAGGAAAGTATGCTAGAATATGAACAAAGTATAATTTACACAGAGTAAAATGCAACAAGAAAATAAAGAAAAATAGAAAATAGTTTACTATTTACAGATATGAATAATGAAATTCATAATTTTGTGGCAAACATATTTCCATTTAACTTTCTGTTTTTTATTGTTGTTTTTTATTAACGAAAGGGCAAAATCCAAGAAGTTCTGCCCCATCCTCCAGTAGCTGAGTGGTAAGTATGAAGGCTTACAACGCTAAAAACATGGTTCTGACACTCGTGGTGGGCACAGCACAGATAGCCCATTGTGTAACAATGTATTTACCAAAAAATAAATATCTGACTCTGGGTCAACACTTGGATTCATATCTAAATCCCCCCCCCAGTGGCACAGCGGTATGTCTGGAGACTTACGACGTTAGAAATCGGGTTTCGATACCCGTGGTGGGCAGAGCTTTGTGCTTAACTTCAAACAAACAAACATATCTAAATCTGGGCCATTAAGTTAAGATGTTACTTACTCAGTAATAATTATTTGAGACACGACTAACAATAATCCATCATTATACAGATTACTGACTCCAAGGTGATTACTTGAACATGATCTATGTATAAATAACTCTAGATGTTTCATCGAACATTTTATTAACTCCACATAGTTACAAAAACAAAATGAAAGACTAGAGACTATGCTTGTTACCGACTCTAAGTCATAGTTAAAACATCTAAATGACTATAAATAGCAATGGGGAAAATTACTGATTAAAGATTATATAGCTTCAGTGCTACCTATTCTAAATCATAGATGAATACTGTAACTATCTCTAGGTGTTTACAGGAGCTGACTAGACGCTATTATTTGATGACTACCGGTTATAGGTCTTAGCTGGAATTTGCAACTGATTCTAATAATAACAAGAACAAAATAACTGACTAGAGTCGGCTAAAAATAAAAAGTAATTGGAATGAGTTCAAAAAATGTATAAACAAACCCACAATTATATAAAGTAATCCACCTGTTGAAAAACTAATAAACTAAATAAATCATAATGAAGATATGACAAACTGTAAAACTAACATACATATACACTACACAAAAATAAAATACTAAAGAATTAAATACAACCTAAGTTAAACCTAAAGCCTGCTCCTCCACCAACAGAAATGAACACTTAATTCACATAAAAAGTTCTAAATGAAAACTAAAACCTCCTCTTTCTTACATATAATGGCCATTTAAATACAAGTTTCAGAATATACTCAATCTGTTATTAGTTGAGGCTGATGTAGTCGTCGAAAAAAACACAAAATGTAACCTGTGTGAAAGAACATGTAAATTTTAGGTCCACGACTAGGTCCAGTGTACTTGAGCATTCCCTGGATGAGTGTGACATAGTAGTCCATTCAAATTATTTTAATATCCAAGTATGGGCCATTGATGAATCGTATAATCATACAAAAACCAGAGCTTGTCATTCACAAACTGAGGCCTTAGATTAACCGAGTAGTCTCCGCATATAAGCAACTCTTAGTATTATAACCTGCATTGGTCCTTTTATTTAAAAAAAAAATAGAGATTATTGCTATAGCTTATAATTTGTATGCTGCCGATTCTAAGTCGTGGTTAAAATATGTAACTGACCTTAGGTAATTGTATTAATGTTAATAATCAACTCTACTCGTTATTTAAACTTGTATTTTACTGTGGTTTGGTGAAATAGTGCGCGCAATAAAAGTAAGGAAAACCTTATCTTGAAATAAAATTTCCATAGTTGATAAGATAATACATTGTTCTAAGATTATCTAAGTTCCATTCAAATGTAGAGTACACTTTCACCCGTTCCAAAATCAAATCAAGATGCCTTATGCTAATTATGCCTGACAATTAATTAATTCATATTCAAGTTTTTAACTACGTTTCTTTGCAAGGTACTGTTTCTTTAGTTCAATTTAAGCTATCAGTTTTCGTTCTATTAACTTTCAAATATATCTATATTCAACGTAGATTACAGAATATTTTTGATGGGGTAACAAATAATCATTTTGTTGTAATGATGAAGTTTTAGTATACATGCGCGCTGGAGTTTCTAGAATGTCCCAGCGTTTGCTACACGCTCTCTTTTTTAGTATATAAGCCGGAGATAGATTGAAGAGAAATAATTGAGACAAGCGAACAGTAGGCACCCTAAGTAAAGTGTGTGAATCGCTGTGAATTATAGCGTGTGTTCATAAAAATAGTGAAGTTAAAGTGACTGTGCAAATTATGTGTATTGCAAAGTTGTATCGAGAAAGAATAAACTAGTTTTAATTAGGAAACGACTTGTATCGCTGAAGTTTCTCGGAAAATAATTTCTACGGGAAATTAACAAACAAGCAGATACGTAACAATAATATTTCGGGGTTATTTAAAATATTTGTCGAATTAATATGAACGTTAATTAAAGGACGTTACAGCGTGAGAATATCTGAAAATTGAACGAAAGGTCGTTTAGCCGAAATGCTGACTTTATAGTTTTCTTAAAAGTGATTTAAATCTCTGTTTGTGTATGTTTTAACTTTAAAATTAGAAGTCGAACGCGCAAACATTATTATATATTTTGGTCATCACAATATCTAGTAAATAATAAAAAAGTACAGCAATCTCCTTTCAACGTTAATGTAGTGTTAATGTTTTCGAACAATACGAGTTTTGTGCTCGTAGGTTTATCTCTTAATCTGCAAATCAGCTCTTCCGAATCCTGTTTAATTGTGCAAAGATTTTGAAGAACGTACATTCCTTTTTGCAAAGCAGTTTACCTATATAATCGTTTTGAGTGTTGATCTAGTCAATAAACACTGGGAGAATGTCTGTCTGAAAGTGATGTTTGTTCTAGTCTTGTTAGGTTGAATTGGAAACATTGTCGATAGAGTCGAGATGGAGTTTTAAGAATCAGAATGAGAGATCGTCCAAAAATGTTAAAATCTATTCGAAAGAAGACAAAAAAATTTAAAATGCGAAGCAGAAGGGATAATAAGAACAATATACTTTATTTCTACTAAGTGCGCAGAATGTACTAGATGTCATTAACATGTTAAAACCATCCAGGTCAAGATGTGTAAAAGTAGCTTTGCTTTTGAAAGACGTTCTTCAACACTGAAACAACACTTTGAGAGTTAGAGTTCTATTTCGTTTTTCGAGGAAAAATAAGAGATCGAACCCAAAACTTACTCAACGTATCATATGAGAAATTGGTCTAGCAGATTTTCTTTTCCCTAGAATGTCAAGTAATGAATGATGAATATTAAGTTCAACTTTGATTATTGTTATTTTTAATTGCAGAGTGTTTCCATGTTCTTCATTACTTTGTTGAAACATTATTATAAAACTTTTAAGGTTCAGAGTTTATCAACTGGAAAAGTTTTTGAATATATATATATAACAAATAACTCGCTGTAGTTAACCCTACCTGGATAGTAAATATGGAGGAACAGTAAGCGAAAAAGTTTTTGGTATGGTGTTTAAACAAAATAATGAGCTTAAAAACACTCTGCTATTTCTAAACGATGGACTCATGACTTTAGGGTTAATACTTACAAAACTGACACTTGACTTCCTATACATCCATGCATTTTTGCCCGACAAATATATCATAGAATTATGTTTGCCTCATTGGCCAATTTTGCTATTCCGTTGCATTCACTGCCCTTTTATCAGTTTCATTCTTATTGGTTTCTATCGCCGTTTGTCATCCTTGTCTTGTTTATTTTAAAGTATGCTTCAATAGTATAAAAACACGTGTTCCTACCACGTGATTATATTTGTGTGGATGATACAGATCATTCATTTAGGATTAAGCTTGTCATAAAATAAGTTCTATTCTGTATTCATGAAGTTAAAAGAACACATGGGTTCAAACAATCAACGAAAGAAAAAAATAAGAAACCATATAACCCAAGCGCTTTCGATAATAATATAGTGATTGGAATCGGCAAAAACACATACGCCACCGCTATATTATTTTTCGCAAGCCATATCTATCAGTATTTGGTTAAGAAACATAGCTTAAATTGATTAATAGGAGGCTATTGCAAGGCGTAGTTAACCTTTAGGACATGTAGATTGTAAAGACTATTTTTTAGTGAAACCTGACGTCACGCAAAATGTTTACAATTTCATTTTCCTATTTTTCTAACTTTAAATATTAATATTTTTTATCTTCCTCTGACTACAGAAAAGCCTTATTCTCACTTTACTAGTGGCTTTCATGTACTTCATAAAGATAAGTAAAAATGTTTTTGAATATGATGAATTATGTATCAAATGGAGAAAACCTGTTTCACGGATAGAATATTCATATAGCTTTTTCATTGTTATCACTGTTGGCTGTTAATAATTGGTTTATCAGTACTCTTGTTTCAACTTACTCCTTAGTTTTATTTATATCATAAAAATTAAATGTTTGAAGAAATATTTAAAGTTTAGACTGTTCGTGAAAAAAAAATTGTCTAAAAGCGAATCCTTCCATTTCCGGCTTTTCAGTTGCTCTCGGTGGGCAACCTGTACTTTACAACAAACTATCATACTGTGTAACAAGAAACACGCGAAATTTTCCCTCCCTGAAGCATATCGAATCACCGAAGGCCACACCTCACGTGACTTTATACTCTCGGCAAATGGATGAGATTCAACGAGAACGTGCTGCACTAAACTGAGTCTAAAGTGTGTAGATGCTTGTGAATACTGGTGTTCACATATTATTGGATTATGCGAGTGTGTGAAGTAAATACCTCCTTGAAAAGTATGTGATAAATACGAGTGCATAGCTACTTTCAAAATTATCATGGACAATCAGGAAAAAAACACATTTGGGCAAAATACGGCTCACATCTCGTGTCTATACCCAGAGATCTTAGCCCTGATTTTCAGCTACCTAAATGTACGGGACAAGGGACGAGCGGCGCAAGTCTGTGCGGCCTGGAGGGAGGCGACTTTCCACAAATCCGTCTGGCGCGGAGTATGTGCACGGTTGCACCTGCGGCGATCTAACCCCTCCTTGTTTCCAAGTTTAGTACGTCGAGGTATCCATCGAATACAAGTTCTTAGTCTGCGAAGAAGCCTCCGCGATGTGGTTTTAGGTGTGCCAAACTTGGAGTCTTTAAATTTAAGCGGGTGCTACAACTTGGGCGACTCGTGGCTCAGCCATGCATTGGTTCACGCTATGCCATCTCTGACGGAGTTGAATCTCAGTATGTGTAAACAAATCACGGATTCGAGTTTAGGACGTATTGCTCAACACCTTCAGAATTTGGAATTTTTAGACTTGGGTGGGTGTTGTAACATTACTAACACAGGGTTACTTTTAGTGGCCTGGGGACTCAGGCGACTTCGTAGTCTGAACCTACGCAGTTCTCGACATGTATCCGACACAGGAATTGGTCATCTAGCCGGTTTAACGCCCGAGGCAGCTGATGGAACGTTAGCCTTAGAACATTTGGGACTTCAGGACTGCCAGAAACTTACTGACGACGCCCTGAAGCACATGAGTCTTGGCCTTCATCGCCTAAAGAGCATCAATCTAAGTTTTTGTGCGAGTATAACTGAGGTGGGCCTGAAGAACTTAGCGCGAATGTCCGAACTACGCGAGATAAATATAAGCAGCTGCGACAACATCTCTGACGTGGGCATGGCTTTCTTGGCCGAGGGCGGCTCGCGTTTAACAACTCTGGACGTCAGTTTCTGTGACAAGGTGGGGGACCAAGGATTGCTTCACATCTCCCAAGGACTCTTCAATCTACATAGCCTCAGCCTTAATGCCTGCCCTATCAGTGACGAAGGTTTAAGTCGTATCGCGCGCACATTATCAGACCTTCACACCTTAAACATTGGTCAGTGCTCCCGAGTGACCGATAAAGGTCTCAGTCTTATTGCTGACCACCTTCATCAGCTCCGAAGTATCGACTTGTACGGTTGTACCAAGATCACCACAGTGGGGCTAGAAAAACTCATGCAGCTTCCCTGGCTTTCCGTCTTAAATTTAGGTTTGTGGCAAAAAGGTACCAGTGACGAAAGCTTTAAAACGTTAAAGCCTGTTAGTGATAACTAAACGTTTGTGTGTGTGTACGTGTTTTATGCATATATAGTACATATATATAAAATATATAATTACAAATGTATATGTAACGATAAATAACCTTACTATCTGATACACAACCGTTATTATAAAACCTAGCGAAAGAAGGTTTTATTTAACGTTAAGTGATCAACCACCCCAATAGAACTTAGAACGAAAGTAAGGTTGGTTAGAATAAGTCTTTCTGATCGTAATCCTGAATATTTGAGTTATAAATAATGGATATGTGTTGAGCATTGAACGGTTCTTTGGTTTTTAGAGATCGACCCACATGAAAATTATGATGGAGATGCTCTTGCAGGTGAGCATACTGCTATGTCTGTTATACCGTTATCATTTCTTAATATTTCTGTTCTTAACCTTCAATTATTGACATATCTAAGTTCTATAATATCATCAGATTTATAACATACAAACATGGACATTAAAAACACACGAAATTTCATAATGCAATTGTAGAAAAAAAGTATTATTTAAGGTCTTGGAAATAACTGTACTAGTACTGTACTTTAGTTTCATGTCTCTTGATCAAAAACAGGTTAATGATAGATACAACATTTATCAACTTTTACTAGTTTTAGGCTTCTAGTTCTATCGTTGAATTTTCAAAACTATAGAAACATTAGATTTTGCTAAAGACATATTTTAATGATGAGAAAAATTAGTGCTTTAGTTATGTATCGGGAAGGAAATGTGGTATTACCTCATGATATGGCAAAAGATAAGAAATGAGTGTAGAGACTATCCAGGATACTATCATATTTAGGCGTCTCTTTGATACTTCGGTAACAAGAAATCTGTTGCAAAGTCCAGTTTAAATTATTTTGTACAAAATATTTTTTGTATTATAAAAGATTATTGCTTAATACTTTATGTGATGTAAAATATTTCGAAAGTACAGTTATTTCTCATCCTGTTTTGAAATGTGGATCTTAGTGCCTAATTCAATTAAGTATATTATTCTAGATGTACTTCCGCAAGGTCCCCGAAAGTGTTTTGTTTCAAGAGTAAATAATACCCAAATTAAGAGTAACAAATATTTTTACTTCTTGCTTTTCAAGTTCATATGTCATGCTGCGTTGTAGCCTACAGAGTGCATAATTCTTCTTGTGATTAATGGCATGCGCACGTTTTACTGACGTCATGACAGTAGAAGTTGCAACGTTAAGCGTCCCTTATGTGACGTCTTTTTAGTGTCTACTGAGTGACTGACAGACAACACACCACTGTAAAGTGGTCCGAGTGGTTAAAACAGGTGGCCATCGGCCTCCTTTCGGGGAACATGCGGGACTGTTAGCTGTTTATTTCCCCGATACTGTAGTTATGTTTATTTCCAAAACTGAGATAAAACATAAGAATAACCTTAACATTTGTAGGCGAACAACAAAACTATTTTCTCTGAAAAAATATGATTGTAATCTTTATGATCCAAATATTACTTTGTTGTCAACTAACAAAACGGAATTGACATATTTTTAAGTATACTCCATTGAACTTACCTCTAAATTAATTTTAACACTTGCCACATAAGTCAACCCGGCATCTTGTTGTGGATCCGGAAAGGTATGGGTTGTTTTGGTTAGACAAAAAGATGTTTGGTACTAGTTTTCGAGATCTAGGTCGCTGGACCTGACTCGTGACCATGAGAGCTAACATGGAGAAGTTAACTTGTAAATGTAAAGTAAAACGATGTAGATTTGTTTGCGAATGTGATGGTTTAAATGTAGCGATTAAGCTAAACCGTGGGTCCAGGTTGGATGAGGGAAGAACTTATTCGATGATATCCCAATCGATTTGACATACCAGATGAATCGGAGATTCGTCAACTGATTACTGCATTGGCAGCGAAACAAAAAATCAGGCACAATAGCAACGTTATCTTCGAAAAGGGGGATTGGAATCATATATAAGAAATCATTAGCTTCAGTATTTTGTGGGTCTCCCTTGAATGTAGTTAAAACGGTGTAATATGTTAATATTTACTAATCCATATATGCTTTAGTCCCATAGGTCAGGCACTATCCGGATACTGTTCGGCGTCCGGGTAGTGAAAGTGGGTTTTTCTCGGGGTACTCCTGTTTTACTCCCACAACAAAGTTAAGGGTATTTGGATCGATTAATCCCCACCCATACTTGTGCTACTTCCCACCAATCATGTTTTGCACAAAGTTGTCGCCTCATGATCTCACGGTTTTGACTTCTTTTTTTTTTTTTTCTTTGTCATCGTCCCTCTTCCTTTTTGAGCTAATATATCATCACTAAGTTACATTTACTCTATTAAGTATAGTTAGTATCATTAGCTAATGAAGTAATCCTTAGATCTGGAGCGGGGTGAATAGAAACACCCCCCGATTACATTTGGGTATGGGCTATTTTGATCTTAGGGTCAAATTGTTTAAGATCCAAATACCTGCCAAGGTAAAATAAATAAATACAAATTTTGCGAAATTAAAGTCCAAAGATGCAGTGTTGAAGTTGAAGCACATGCATGGTGCATTTTAAGATGATTTCCCTAGCGATTCTCAAATTATAAATGCCCTTTCTGCAATGAAGAGTGATTATAAGAATGATGACATAATTTTTGGTATGGTACCACCATAGTATAATCCATATAGATTTCATCATGTCATATTTTCATTAATATTTAGTTTTTTGTTGTTGTTTTTTTCGTTTTAGAAGTTTTGCCGAGCTTCATTTATTGAGATCTCTTGAAATAACCCCAAATCACCGGTTTCTGGAATGACTCCCTGTTGACCATCCTAAGCTCGATACTAAAAGATGCTGGGCTGGCTCGTGGCAGTTATTATGTCAACGATACTTGAAGAGTTGTAAATTTATAAAGGTTTTAATCAAATTATTAGTAACACTTACGAGTTTTAATGCCCGTGATAATAAGTCTTAGCAGATGCAAATTGTTGAAGAAACTGTATCAAGTCTTGAATGTCAGAGGTTTGTTATGTTTGCTTTCAGTTTGCAACACTTCGATCAGGAACTCGTAGTCTGGGCTTCAGTCTTTATATTTAGTACGTATTGTTTGTGTGTGGGGGGGGATTCTTGTTACAGTGTGAGTAACGGTGGTTCCAAGTTTGAAAAAAATTTCAGAATGTTTCATGGACGAGATATTTAATAATGACTATTAACACCGTTTTGTTTTACCAGCAAGTCACTCTTTTTTTAGTTTTGTCGATCTTTCGTACCTTATGCATAATTGTCGTTGAGCTAAACTTTCAAACGACAGGATAGACACCAATATATATTTTAAGTAAGTCTCCAACTCTAGATTAGAAAATATATTTATATCAAATCAGAATAGTAAAAAATACAACGTTTCATATCCTTAAACTTAATTAGCAAGCTTTGGTAACATTAGCAAAATGTTTTATTGTAATAATCAACAGGAAAAAGCTATGGAATTAAAAATAAGTGTGAAATAGTAAAAGTTCTTATTTAAAGCAATTTAAGTGTGAATTTTTTTTCCTACTAAAGTATCTTTTTACAAGTTAGCTGAACTAAAACACAAACTTAGCATATCTTTGACCTTCAGAATTAGTCATGTAACCTGCTACATCTAAATCGAAACGTCAAAGTGACTTCTTATTTGAGCTCCAAATGGAAGCCTGTAGGTGTTTGAAAAATTGCTCCATGCATAATTTGAGACTTCTTGTATTTTTATTGTCTTACTAAATCATCCAAAAACACAACTCAGTTATTTTAACGAAATATTGAATTTGTTTTTACTTTTCGTTTTAATCTATCTGAACAATATTTAAAATAATATCAGTGAATATGTCTATTCATTTTTATAAATTAACAGTATACCACTGAAGTAATGTGAACTAAACATTCTGTTTATGGTTTATTTCGCTTTGGTATATCACCTGTAGTATATTATTTGAAACCAATTCAGTAAAATGTTATTTTTCTATAGTTATCCACGCGTTACTCTGAAATAGCACAAAACGTTTCTTTTGTAAGAATATTAACATTTATGAGCTAATGACAACGAAATGTTGTTAAGAGTTCATTGTTTTGTTTTAAATACCCTGGCATTGATCATATTTGCTTGAAATATATTTTGGGGATGGGTTTCGATAGCAAACTAAAGTATGATGAATTTTTCTTGATGAGATTATTTGGATATAGCCAGATGTGGAATTAGCCACCAAACCGACGTCTCTTGTTTCTAAATTATATATTTCCGTTGCTTCTTCCCAATTCCATTCGCTTCCTATTTGATCGAAACCCGAGAAAGCCTTTATAATGTACGTGTTTCACATTATTGCCATGCCCAGTTTTTCACAGCGTGTTTTATTAATAAATTGCATTGTTCGTGAGAGTTTTCCGACTAGAATATTTTCTTATTGAATTAGTTTAGGAAATAAGAAATATAACTAGTATAAATAATATTTTTTTGCCTCTGTGATACAGTAAGTTTTACAACTAAACAATTTGTATTCCTAGAACTCATTCTATAGTTTTCATATTTTCTTCAGAGTAATTGTTAGAATGAATTATAAATCGTCAGTAGGTGAAATTATACATTAGACAGTAGATGAATGGGAAGATTTTATTTGTGATGAGAAATTGAAACGAACGGTGACTCAGAAAAACAGAGCGAGAGGGGAGCTAGAGTTCGCGCTGGAATTTTCTAGAAATTGATATTTAATAATGTTGGTTTGTAATTAGTCGGTTGTATGTAGTATCGAAAGAAAAATTATAGCTTACGTTTTGATAAAGTTATGAAATAGGCTTAATATTGTTCCATATTTTCGCATCAATATGTTTTCAATTAGCCGAGTTAATTGTTTTATAAATACATTAGTCAACCAGTAAGCTTGGGGAATTACAAATGTTAAACTTGGGGTTTGATTCCTGCGAAGAGCGCAGATAAGTTACTCTGCAACTTTCAGCTTGTAGTCAGCCGTTATTATACCCACTTGTTTTGTGTTCGATATATCACTGCAAATAATGTTCTTTTAAGTTCATCACTGAGTAATTAAAAAAATAGGATGTAATATTTGAAATTAATGCCATTTTCAAAGAATGACTTCCGCGTTACTACAATGATCTATATGCAGCTGAAAATGCTTTTTTGGCAGAATGAAAGATTAAAAGTAGCTTATTTTAAAGCTCCTGAGGTTTTTGGATTACTCCTTGAGACTACTGAGAGAGACAGCCAGGAAGAGAATGCTAGAGTAGCATAATGACGTCCCATCTATGACAATCGGTGTCATATAAGCTACTGTGTTAGCTATAGCTAGATCTTCTTGATATGAAATAATTAGTTTCTAGTTTAAATAAAGCAGTTATATTAACTCCTTATTTTTGAAAAATGAAAATTATAGTTTGGAAAATATAGCCTGACTTACAGCTTTAAAAAAAAATTGTTTCTTTATAAGTAAAAATTCGATAGTAGTTTCACAATTACAATAAAGTTTGTTTGTTACTTTAAATAATACAGTAATTACGTTTTGAACAAGTTACGCAAACTCATCTGTTATATGTGTATGTTATGCATCAGGTATAGATTCAAATCGCACAGGGCAAGAAAATCTAACAAAAATAACAGATTGTACCAGTCGCAAACAGTTGCAAAGTTTGGTTTGTTATGAATTTCGCGCAAAGCTACACGTAAGCTATATGCGCTAGCCGTCCCTAATTTAGCAGTGTAAGACTAGAGGGAAGGCAGCTGGTCATCACCACCCACCGACAACTCTTGGGCTATTCTTTTACCCACGAATAGTGGGAGTGACCGTCACATTATAACGCTCCCAAGGCTGAAAGGGCGAGCATGTTTGGTGTGACAGGGATTCAAACCCGCGATCTGCAAATTGCGAGTTGAGCGCCCTAACCACCTGGCCATGCTGGGCACAGCCTGCAAAGATATCAGCTTGAAATTCATTGCGAAAATGTCCCCTTCCCCCCAGTGGCAAGTTTAAAGACGTATAACACTAAAAATCGGGTTTTGATTTGATTCCCTTGTTAGTCATAGCACAGATAGCCCATTGTGTAGTTTTGGGCTTAACAACAAA